TTTGTTACCAAAATTTACACCCATACATTAACACAAATAAGTTGATACCCTTTATAGTAAATTTACACTCAATCAGTCATTTCAGCCAACATATTATCAAACACTTTCACTTCAGCAAATTAAATCTTATCAGACTTTTCAGCCAATCCAGCCAATGCAGCTGTTAGCAAACAGGCCCTAAGATAAAATTGCATATGTTTGTATATATATACCTAAATTTTATCTTTAATTATATTTATAACATAATGAAATTAAGTGATTAGTTATCAATTATCATATAGTGTCTATGATTAAATGTGATACTTCTATCATTCATGCTTGTTTATGTATATGTATATATGTATTTTATACAGACAAAAATACAATATTACTTACTCCGTATCATATAGATTAAAATGAAATTTCTATGTTTCCGACTAGTCCCCGCCTAAGCGCCCGCCTAACCGTCCGACTAGGGCCTAGCGCCTTTTAGAACATTGTCCATCCCTAATAACTTTGCCAAGTTTGACTCGCGCGAGGATTAATAAAGTAAAAACTGTGTGGTTGAGGTTTGTGCAGAGGAGAAAGAATTAACTAGAACCACAAATTTTTTACTTAAAGGGGGAAGTGGCAAAGTTAATGAGACATTAAAAAAAAGAAAGTTGACAAAGTTATAAGAGATGGAAGAAGTAATTTGATAAATTATTCCGTGATGAGCAAGTCAAACGGAACGGTAGGATGATATCAATGATGAATGTTGCATCTTTTTTTGACAATGAAAAAGTCTTGCAATTTTTTGAAAAACCACTATAGAAAAAGTCTCTTTCTTATTACTCTTTAGAACCCTATTAGTGGACACAAGATGTACACAATTTGTGTAAACGGGCAATTTGGCATCAACTCCTGCCCTTGTTTTAACGAATTGCCTGTGTACACAGGCAACTAGAAGAGTTTTGAATACAACTTGGGTACAACTATTGTACACTAAACATTTTCCTTGTCAGAATACTAGAGTAGTTTATCCCAGGGCACCAATCATATTGATATGGGCCAATATCCCAAATATGTACTTTTAATGTGTTCGTCACCCTATAGGCCTTCACAACAACGAGGAAATGGAAAATCTAAGCATAGTTGAAGCTTATTTACGGATTCATTGGATACATTTTTACTTTTTGAAAAAGAATGTAAAAGTGAACACGCTTAGGGCCTGTTTACTAACAGAGATATTTTCCAGTTTTCCAGAAAACTGGAAAACTGGAAAACAGAAAACAGGAAACATGTTTACTAAAGAAATTGCTGGAAAACTGGAGAAAGGAAAAAAGAAAAACGCGTTTACCAAATCGTTTTCCAAAACGAAAAAAATGAGACATGTCTCTCTTTTCCTTAATGATTTAGAAAAGTGACTTTTACTAGTTTTGCAAATTTGGAAAATGCAGATGCTACAGTGCCGCATCAATGAATTTGCATACTTACACCTAGTGGTGGGTCCGGTCCCGCTCCGATGTTGATTCCATTCCGGTACCTCCATCCTAGTACCTTACCTCTTACCCCTACCCTACCCCAAACCCCACCCCGCGTACCCATTTTTCCCTATAATGACCTTACCCCACCCCCTACCACATGCCCCTACCTCGGCCCCTCCCCGATCCACCCTACCCTACCGCCACCTCCTACCACCTCGACCCCACCCCGACCCACCCTACCATACCCCACCCCTCGTATATTACCACTTACCCCTACCTTACCCCTTACCATATGCCCCCCTCCCTAGGCCCCACCACACCGCCATCCTACTTCCACCCTCATACCGCCATCCTACCCCCACCCTTCCGCCATCCTACCCCCACCACCATCCTACCCCCCACCCTACCCTACCTCGGCCCCACCCGGATCCCGGGCCCACCCTATCGACATCCTATCCCAACTCCCTACAATACCCCTACCTTACCCCAACCCTACCCACTACCCCCCACCCTTACCGCCATCCTACATTCCTACCCCCCACCCTACCCCTTCCCTACCTCGGCCCACCTTGGTCCCGACCCCACCCTACCGCCATCCTATCCCAACTCTCTACCCTACCCTACCTTACCTCAACCTTACCCACTACCCCACCCTTTCCCCTAACCACGACCTTAACCCACCCAACCCCCAACCCCTAGACCTTACCACCCCACCCCAACCATACCCCTTACCCCGCCCCCATCCATAACATCCCTACCCCGACCCCTACGAGTAGGTATGGGTGGGTATGAAGGGTTGTGGAGGAGTATGGGTAGAGTGTAAGATCGTGGTAAGGGTAGGGGTCAAGAGTGTGAAATTGGAGAACTATGTGAAAAAATTGACGAACATGTTTTCACATTTGAAAATGGAAAACTTAAAAATAGAAACAGAAAATTGGAGATAGAAAAACTGAAAAATAAAAACAGAAATTGGAAAACGAAAAACAGAAGTAGAAAACAGGAAAATATCTCTGTTGGTAAACAGGCCCTTAATATTCTTTTTTTTTTTAATTTAGGATTGACATACCAGTTCTTTAATCTCCATTTTCAATTTTCAAATACGCTTATACGCTAATAAAAACTTTTAGCGAGTGCGTGTTTGATAGCCATATTTACCCTATAGAAGATGATGCATTTATCATTTGCATACGTCGTCTTTAATGTAGTATTTTCCTTATTTGGATAAAATGTAATTATATACGTAGTATTAAAAAATCATCCAAAAGCCCATATAACCATACAATGAACCAAGTATAATTTCAATTGATCAAGAAACATGCATCAGCCCATCAAAGCTATCCAAAACGGGTTTCGGATGTCTTTCGTCAGATCTAGATCATTTTTGGTCTTGCCATTACGAAAATGGAGATCCATACGGATTTGACACAAATTGGTTGAATATTTCATGTGACCAAATGTTTTTGGAACAAACTTGAGATATCTCTGCCAAATGTAATAGACTAATATTCCCTCCGTCCCCGAAAGAAGTTCATCATTTGACTTTCACACACTTTTATGCAAGTTAACTTACTAGGGGGTAAATTTTACTATTTTGACACTGTTTCGACACTGTTTGACACTGTTTTGCACTGTTTGGCATTGTTTTGATGTAGATTACTTTCCATTTAAGGAAATTGGAACTTAAATTAGGGATATCCAAATAAGGAATGTGAGAACTTCTTTCGAAGACGGAAGGAGTAATATGGAAGGTACAATTATGACCAAACTTTTCAATAAATCTCAATTATCTTAGATAGAGCCTCATGGTATATTTATAATAAATCAATAATATGGAAGGTACAATAATGACCTAAATATATTAGTCTATTGAAATGCTTTATGAGTTTTGGCAAATCTCTACCAATAATCCCTCTCAATCACGTTATTTGTTTGTAGTGTGTTTGATATAAGTTTCTTAAATAAATATGTCTGATATAAAAGATTATGGATGTTTTCTTTTGGACTGTTTTCAGTCCCAGACCAGATCAGACCAGACTTAAACAGACCAGATCAGACCAGGCCAGACTTCCATAGTTATAAAATACACAGAGACCAGACGTTTACCAGACCAGACCAGTTCAGACTAGACCAGACCAGACTAGACTTCAACAGACCAGACCAGATCAGACCAGCAAATTTCAGTCCGAAAGAAAACATCCTAGGTCTACTATGATATATATGGTGTAGTCAACTCGCCGATCTTATGCGATTGCTTTTTGCACTACTTGATCTAATTAATAACAAACAAAATTAAGGGGTTGTTTACTTTTTTTTGCATTATGTCCTGAATTAGTTAAGACGTCCGTCTAGAATAAATAGTTTACGAGAATGATTAAGTGAGACTAAGATAACAAACAGTTTACTATGCATGCTGAATGAGAAATCTGAATTATATATATAGAATGACCAAATAACGCTTTTATTAGAATGATAATAAACACTTCAAATTACAATTTCAGATCACGAATAAACATTTCAAATAATTGAGAACACCAAATTTAGTAAATAATTAGAATTTTATTAGCAGTTATTCTATTGAATTTTTTAATATAGGAATGAAGTATCTCCTCTCTTTTCATGTCATTGTTTACAGCTCCTAAATCTAGCACACCATGCGCCTAATTGGGACGAGGTAAAATCATATTCTTAAGGAAAAATATGGTTTCATGTTGGAGGTCTCACTTCACCACAAGCCAGCTGCTAATAATATATAGTCTAGGGACATATTTTGTAATTTGACAACTCTTGGTTTATTATAAATATATCATGAGCACACCCTATTAGGGTGTGGGATTATTCCACAAATATCTTTGCATATGGTATCAGTTGCCTAGGTTAACCCTAGTTGTACGTGTAGCCTCTCTTTCTCGTTACCATGGCCGATTCCACGGATACCTCCTCTTCTACAGCCACACCGTCTTCAACTTCGACGGCGGCTATGATGATGGCGCCCGTATCTTCATCGGCGCAGCCTTCCTCTTCTACGGTGCTCAATTCTCCGGTGAATTCTGCTCTCAGGCCACGGCCATCGTTCCAGGCACCTCCTGCGAATTCTTACCGTCTCTTTAATATGCCGGAAGCCTTCACATGGACTCCAACATCACATACTGCCGCACCTTCCTCCGCTGCACTTTATACATCCTTTTCGTCGGCTATGCTTTCTGGAACGATGCCTCAGTCAATGTCACATGCCACATATTCTGGTCCGACCTTTTCAGGACAGCCCGGCATAGCTCCTTTGCCGCAGCAGTTTCCTCACCTGCCAGGTTTTTCAAATTCTCCTTCTTATTTATCATCTATGGCTTCCCAGTTGGCGTTTTCCACGCCTAACGTGACCAATATAGTTACCACTCGGTTGAGTGCGGTTGAGGATTATCTCCCGTGGCGAACTCAATTTGAATCCTTCCTTGTTTCCCATGGTCTTTTTGGGATTCTAGATGGATCCGTTTTGGCTTCGCCCACTTTTACTTTGGATGTTCATGGTCGGGAAGTCCCTAACCCGGAGTACCATCAATGGCTTAAGATCGACCAAACCATCCGATCATGGTTATTTGCTACTTTGTCTCGGGACATTTTAATGGAGGTTCATGATTTGAAAGTTTCGGCTCGCATTTGGGAGAGTCTTCAGACCCGATTTCAGTCAGCCTGTTTGGCCAGGTCAATGGAACTTAAGCGTTTACTTTCCCACATTAAGAAGAAAGAAAACCAAACCATAGATCAATATCTCTTGGAGATTAAAATCCTGGCAGACTCCTTGAGTTTGATTAATTCACCTGTGAGTAATAAGGATTTAATTGAGTATGCTATCAATGGGCTTGGTCCAGCTTATGAATCGTTAATTACTGCTGTCACATACTTCCCTGGAGATGCGACTATTGAGAGCTTGAGGCCTATTCTCCTTGCACAAGAACAAAGAAACATTCTGTTTAGCTCTCAGGATCCACAGATCACGCACCAGGCTTTTGCGGCCGCACGTGGGGGACCACCAGTAGATCGTGGAGGTGCTGCCCGCGGCCAGGGGGGCAGGCTTCATGGTAACCGCGGTAATAGGGGAGGCCGAGGTCGCGGACAGCGGGGCCGTGGACGTGGCTATGGTCAGAATTTTCAGAATCAACAAGGCAATTACGTCCAGAATTTTCCACCGCCGCAACAGCCTGGTTATCCTCACGGTCAGCAGCCTTATGGAGCTCCTCGTGGTCAATTTCCTTCGGGAAACTCAGGTACACTATTAAGTAATGTCTCGTCTGGTTGTTCATATTTTAATCATTTATCGTATTGCGGTACTAATAGTGTTAGTGCAGGTTTTCCGTCTGTGGATAATTCTTATCAATCTCATCCGCCCCCAGTTGTTTGTCAAATCTGTTTCTCCCCAGGTCATTCAGCTCTTACATGTTCTCGGTTTCTGGCATCGTCTACTCCAGCTCTGGCTGCTATCCCCTCGGGTGAAACAAATAGCTCTGTGTGGTATCCTGATTCGGGAGCATCGGCTCATATGACACCTCATGAAGGTATTTTATCTTGTAAATCTCCTTATACTGGCTCTAAAAATGTGCAAGTAGCTAATGGTACTAAATTACCCATTTCTCATGTTGGTAATGTTACTTTAAATACTGTCGGACGCCCGTTATCCTTAAACTCCGTTTATCATGTCCCACACCTCAAATTTAATTTATTATCTATTCATAAATTGTGTGCGGATAATGATTGTACGGTGCTTTTTAATAAAAATTCTTTTCTTATTAAGGACAATCAAACGGGGGTACATCTACTTCAGGCTTCCAATAAAGACCATCTCTATCCATTCCATGCTCTTCAGACTACACTTGTTTCTGGACCTACATGGCACAAACGTTTGGGGCATTGTGGTGATCGAGTTTTACACACGCTTCGGCAAAAACATTTTATTTCTTCTACTAGTACTTTTAATCATGATTGTGTTTCTTGTAAGTTGGGAAAATCCCATAGACTACCTTTTCAAGATGTTATTCATTCTTGTACTGCTCCTCTTGAACTTATTCACTCAGATGTTTGGCAATCGCCTGTTTTATCTAATCTTGGTTATAAATATTATGTCTCTTTTATTGATGATTTTTCTCGCTATACTTGGGTTTATCCCATGCGTCGTAAATCTGAAGTTTTTTCTCATTTTTGCAATTTTCAAACTCTTGTTGAAAATCTTTTGGATAGGAAAATTAAGTCTTTTCAAAGTGATGGAGGTGGCGAGTTTGACAATACCATTTTTCAAAATCACTTTTTACAATCAGGGATTTTATTCCGCAAGTCTTGTCCCGATACACCTGCCCAAAATGGTGTAGCTGAACGCAAGCATAGGCATCTTCTTGAATTAACTAGGACCATGTTAATTGAATCCTCGATTCCTCCTAGTTTTTGGGTAGATGCTCTATATACCGCCACTTATATTGTCAATCGCTTACCCACACCGCTTTTGAAAAATTTAACTCCTTTTGAAAAACTTTTTAATAAATCTCCTGATTTTCATTTTTTGCGTATTTTCGGGTGTAGCTGTTTCCCAAACTTTATTGCCAAGTCCTCTAATAAACTCTCACCTCGCTCCACTCATTGTGTTTTTCTGGGATATGCCCCGGGTTATAAAGGGTACCGTTGTTTAGATCCTGTTTCCGGTAGAGTTTACATTAGCCGGGATGTTCAATTTCATGAGCATGATTTTCCTTATGCCCGCCTTATTTCCTCTAAGTCCACCTTCCCTACTTCTAACCTATTGTCCTCTTGGCTACCAACTGTTGCTACCTCTAGCACCATTCCTCCCAGGACATCCGTAAGCCATGAACCACATCCCCCTCCAGTCGAAGTTCTTCCCAGCCCCATAGGAACCTCCACACCCACAGTAGGTACACCAGACAATCCCCAGGCCTTCCCACCTGTTTCTTGTCCTAGTCCATGCATCCCGCACAGTTCCCAGACCGCGCCTGACCACCCAACTGAACCCAGCTCCCTCCAGCCCACGGCAGATCATCATTCCAAACCGCCTGCACCTAGTTTTCCCACCGACTTGCCTGTCTCTTCCCCTCCCTCTAGCTCGCCACCATCGTCTCCCGAAAGTCCAGCCCCTCCTATCAATATTCATCCTATGAGAACCCGAGCTAAAGATGGAATTTTTAAGCCTAAAAGCATTTTTAATTTAAGTGTTTTTGCGCCCCCTGATGATCCTACCTGTTTTTCTCAAGCTCAAAAATTTTCTATTTGGCGGGCTGCCATGGCAGATGAATTTAATGCATTACTTGCTAATCAAACTTGGGAATTAGTACCTTGGGACGGCACTAAAAATATAGTTGGTTGTAAGTGGGTTTACAAGACAAAATATAATTCTGATGGTTCTGTTGAGCGCCACAAAGCGCGTTTAGTTGCCCAAGGATTTAAACAGCAGGCTGGTATAGATTTTACTGAAACTTTTAGTCCTGTTGTTAAACCCACGACTGTTCGCTTGGTCCTATCAGTTGCGGTCTCACTTGGGTGGTGTATACGTCAATTGGACGTTAAAAATGCGTTCCTTCATGGTCACCTCACTGAAGAGGTTTACATGCGTCAACCACCTGGTTTTATTCATCCATCTTTTCCTCATCATGTGTGTCGTCTTAAAAAGGCTTTGTATGGTCTCAAACAAGCTCCACGAGCTTGGTTTCATCGTTTTAGTGGTTTTCTTTTGACTCATGGATTTTCACAGAGTAAATCTGATTCCTCTATGTTTGTTTTTAGGGATCGCTCTCAGGTGATTTATATACTTCTATATGTGGACGATATTCTAATAACTGGTTCTTCTTTGTCTTTTGTTCGGTCCATCATTCATTCCTTATCCACACAGTTTGCTATGAAGGATTTGGGGGATATTCATTTTTTCTTGGGTCTTCAAACTCGTCGTACGTCTCAGGGATTATTTATTTCTCAGCAAAAATATATCTCTGATTTACTGCGACGTTTTCATCTTCACACAATCAAACCAGTCCGAACCCCTCTACCTTCACGCACCACTCTCTCCCTCACAGATGGCGAACTTCTCTCTGATGCTACTGAATATCGCAGCATGGTAGGTGCATTACAATATTTGATTCTGACTAGACCTGATATTACTTATGCTGTGCACTTGGTTTCTCAGTTTATGCATGCTCCACGCACTACTCATCTTCTAGCTGTGAAGCGTATTTACAGATATTTGCAGGGCACTGTGGACTATGGCCTATGGCTCCAGTCCAAACCCGATATTTCTCTTCTTGTTGCTTATTCAGATGCAGATTGGGCTGGATGTCCGGATAGCAGTCGGTCCACCACAGGTTATGCTATTTTTTTGGGCCCCAATCTCATTTCATGGAGATCCAAGAAGCAGCCAACAGTGTCTAAGTCCTCCACTGAAGCAGAATATCGTGCCATTGCTTACACGGTTCAAGATACCCTATTCATCCGCTCATTACTTACTGACATGGGTATCCCTATCTCTCGCCCTGTTCAGCTTCATTGTGATAATGTTTCAGCATCCTACATGGCGGTAAATCCTATTCAGCATGATCGTAGCAAACACATCAAAATCGATTATCATTTTGTTCGCGAACGAGTGGCTCACGGCGATCTGGTGGTTAAATATGTCCCTACTCAATTGCAGTTAGCTGATATTTTTACTAAGAATTTATCTAGTCAACGTTTTGAGTTTTTACGTTCCAATCTGCGCGTTGTTTCCCCTGCACAGATTGAGGGGGTGTAATAATATATAGTCTAGGGACATATTTTGTAATTTGACAACTCTTGGTTTATTATAAATATATCATGAGCACACCCTATTAGGGTGTGGGATTATTCCACAAATATCTTTGCATAGCTGCCCTCCCAAGTGAATTGTTATCCATAGATCTATATGTTTATTGAACTCATTTTTCTCCAAGCGAATAAAACAACAAATAACCAAATGACAATGAAAGGAACAAAAGTTTTTGTAGAAGAACCCATCGTAATGCAGAACCCATCAACCTTTTACATTCTTCTCAATACTCCCACAATTTGTATATTTTCAAAAGCAAATAACTCAGTTCTCTCAAATCAACAAATAGATGATCTCAACATGCTATAGGAAGCTTCCATCCCGATCGAGTCGAAGATTTCCTTTATCTGTGAAGGAGTTTAGAGGCTCTAGATCGATCTTTCTTCGATCACTGTTAAACTCCGATCGACCAGTTTTGGAAGCTGATGATGCCGGCACTTGATATATATATCTTGGAGAATTGCGACAAGATATCGCGAAGGAGAAGTGAGCTGAAGGTTAAATATGAGACTCTCAACATGTAAATACGTCTGAAGCTTAAGGAGTATTAAAAGTGGACTGCACGAATCAGTCACAAATGATCTGACCGAATAAGTCATACGTAACATTAAGTCATAAGTAAAAACAACTATATAACTGAACAAAAAGTCGAATAAGTCATACGTAGTACATAATAAAAAAACTACTCCGTATATAACAACGAATGGGAAATTACAAAACAATAAACAACGAATGCTTTACTAATATAATTGTTAAGATCCAGGATTTCATCCTAAAAATCAACTTGATAGGAGTAGCTCAAATCCTTATATAGTATTTAATTGTTTTATACCTTTTTGGTGTGGGACAAATGCTTTAACACGCCCCCTCAGCCCGAACTGGGCTGGACAATAGCGAGGTGTATAAACGGGCCAAACAAACCCTTAACAAGCTACCCTTCATCATGGGTGTTAAACAAGCCGTCAAACCACAACCGGAATTGACTCTGGTACCATGTTAAAACCCAGAATTTCATCCTAAAGCCTTATATATTGATTAATTTTTTTAACTTTACGGTGTGGGACAAATAGTTTAACAATAATTGTAAGTGATTACAATAGAAGGCTCTCTTTTCGAATCAGAACAAAAGTATGGATCTTATTCTATGTAACACTGGTCACGGGTACATAGACTAAATTTCTCAATTTGGTATATGTACTACGTACTTCGTATTTGGTATATGTCACCACTGACCACGCATAGTCATCGGTCAATGACAATTGACAAATACTCCATATTACTTTTACGTATTAAAGTCTACGCTAATTAAAGCCGCACTTTACTCCGGAAATAACTACTTTTTCAATCTTCTTTTGTTTTTTTAACTTACTTTTACCTTTGTTAAAAAAAAACTTACTTTTACCTGCCTAGTTTTCCTAAAGTTAAATTCTTTTAATTCGTAGTAAAGAATCAGCCACAAAATAATTTTTCTAGTAAAAAAATTCACAACTAATAATGTAAAAAAAGTGGTGGACAAAATTGTGACTAAAAAACTAATTATGTTCAAATTTTAAATTGTATTGTATTGGTGATAATATGTGATCATTGCGATATAAATTTCAACACCCATAGTCACTAATGGTTGTCATATCACAATTTTGTTTTTGATCGTTTCATTAGTAATATTTAGAAAAGCCACCTTTTTTTACAGATAATATGAGAAAACTGAAAAAGAAAATGGAAAAGATATACGGAGTATATAAGTGCAATACAAATTACTTAAGTCGGAATTTCATATTCTCTTTCGGCTCATAGTTGGACTTATAATAAAGTTAACTTCATGATAATAATACTCAAATTAGTAATAGTAATTAAACTTTACATATTTAGAATACATAAACGTCCGATCCTATTTACCCATAAAAATTGATTTAAAATATTTCCCTCAATTAATTATCACTAAAATATAAAACTTGTAATGGAAAATATAACTAAAGTTATTATGTGTATAATAATGTTATGATCAGTTGATCAATATTCACTGTGGAGTCCAAAACACAACGTAATACTCCGTATAAGAATAATATAATAATTAAAAGTTACTGTCATGAATATGTATGTCTTTATTTCATATGATAAAGATTAAAAGTAAAAAAGAAGTTTATAAAAAGAATCCATTAACCAATGTCCAATAATAATAGCAAATGAGAAAGTATAAACAAACGGAGATACTCCGTAGATTGCAAGTTACAACTGGAAAGATTAATTGGAAATGATCGAGAAGTAACGCTTCTTAATTAGCAGTATAATTAGCCCTAATTTTATTACCACTCAACGGATTGAGTATTTTCGTTTCTTTCGACTTCCTTCCTGCAGTTGTGTCCTCCCACCATTATTCTACTGTAAGGTTTTAATCGATCATCTAAATTGTGTTATAATAATGTCATGAATATATATATGATTCTTTTAATTAATTTCATGAAATTGTAATAAGTAGTAATAATTGGGACTAAAAACATGTGACAGGCGTATAGGTAGAAATTAAAAGGTGACCATGATGGTGGGAAATGGGAAATCCCGGTGGCTGCTCGTAGCTGCTGTGACATTTCTGGGCATAGTTGTTCCGGCGAAGCCACACAATTATGGAGATGCCTTGTACAAAAGCATTCTATTTTTTCAGGGTCAAAGGTCTGGGCATCTCCCAGAAAGTCAACGCACTTATGGGATCACTTGGAGAGGGGACTCCGCTCTCCATGATGGTGATGATGTCCGTGTATGTATAGCTCCATATCTATCTATCTACCTATTTAGAAATGCTCAAGTCCATCCGGAGGGACGGAAGGCTCCGTCCGAACTTTACTGTTTAAGGCGCTTTCCGGTGGGATTTTTTTATGAAATTTTTTGAGCATGTTCTTCATCAAGTATAGTTTATCCATACCAAATTTCAGCTCAAAATTTGATCGGGAAGACATTCAAATAAATTCTTGAAACATACTACACATTATATGTGCGCAGAATGTGCAGTATGTTTCAAGAATTTATTTGAATGTCATTCCGATCGAATTTTGAGCTGAAATTTGGTATGGATATACTAGACTAGATGAAAAACATGCTCAAAAAATTTCATCAAAAAATTCCACCGAGAGCCACCCTAAACAGTAAAGTTCGGACGGCACCTCCCGTCCCGGCCTCCGGATGGACCTGATCATTCCTCTCTATGAGGCATATATATATATATATATATATATATATATATATATATATACACGGATATACCAAATTATCAAGTTGTTAGAGAATTTGAAAATGAATCTAGGTTTAAATTTGACAAGCATAAATAATCTAAATATTATTGTGTACAACCAGGAAATGAGATCATATTTTTGTGAATATATAAATTGAGTTTTATTATCACAAAAAATGAAAACGTCGTACAATGCCATGATAAGGGGTACATGGGAATCAACCATCAAAATTTCTCCCATTAAAATTTGTCAACTTCCCTTATTTAGCCGTCCCTGAAAAATTAACATGTATTTTATATGTTTTCCATCTTCTCCAATTTAAGCTTTTCACTTACCTGTTTTGGATATTTAAACTAAAGTTTTTCATTTCTGTAGTTTTAATAAGGAAATAATATGTTATCATGAATGACTTTATTATATTAGAGCATCTCCAATGGTATAATGTGCACGGTGCACACGTGGCATGAGAGATAGCCACATAAATATTAATAAATAAATTCTTTTTCTCCTTATTTTAATGATTTTATACAGATTTAGTAAGTTTTTCTTCACAATGTCAAGGAGACCGTCTAAATGTTGACATTGCAGTTGATATTGGAGGGATAAACTTACCAAAATTGTATAAAATCATTCAAATAATGAGAGAGATAATTTATTTGCTAATATTTATGTGGCTATCACACATGCCACATTTGCACCGTGCACATTTTAGCATTGGAGATGCTCTTATGTACTCCGTATCAATCACATTTACTTCTAAAAATATACTCCAATTACCTTATTTAACTATTTTTTAAATAATCCTGCAATTTTTCAATGAGAATCTCATGTTTGGACAGAGATAGTAACAAATCAATAGTTCATGTTATTTCTTTTTCCTATCCGAAAACCTACTAGTTTATTAAACCTAGTAGTAGGCTAGTAGCTAATAACTTTGTGCACATTAAGCTCTTTTTCATTAGAATAAACTATTTCGGTAAAAGAATTTTCATCAGCGTTAGAGCATATCCAATGGTTTCTTTTGAAGACTTGCTTGCAATTGTAAATCTAATAGTTATCATTGAAGCATTGCTTTTTCTTTTACTCAAGAATGCTAATTAGCCTAAATGAACAACTAGCTTGAGCAAAGAGATTTATTAAATATAACATTATTAATAATAAATGAAAAGGAAGAAGTTATAACTAGTCATTGGAGTACATTTTAATTTTGCTCCAAATGCTTATGTGGCTAGTCAAGCTATGGGGTAATTACCTAACCATTGGAGATGCTCTTAACCTTCTCATGAAAAATTCGCCACAAATTGTGCATTCTGATAGAGAAATACTTAACATGGATAAACACATTATTGTAGGATATTTAGAGCCTGTTTGGTAGCACGAAAATCGGCTGATTTGGCTGATTCTGCAGAAATTTATGAAGTTTTGGCTGAAGTGGCTGCATTGGCTGATTCTGCTGATTTAAGAAAAAAATATTTTTAAAATATACTCCCTCTGTCCCAAAATGGTTGACCAAATTTCCTTTTTTGGCCGTCCCAAAAAGGTTGGCCATTTCCATTTAAAGTAAGCAATATGTGGCTAAAGTTAATTCTCTCTCCTCTGCCGAAATTTCAACCACATAGTTTTTACTTTATTAATACACGTGCAAGTCAACATTGGCTAACCATTTTGGGACGGAGGGAGTATTTTATTAATAAAATAAAGAAACAATTATAAGTACAAATAGCTAAAATGGTCATCTACACTAACTTCAGCCAATACAGCCAAGAAAGTAACTCCAACCTTACTTTTTCTGTGTATTACACAATTCAGCGCACGAAAACAAAAGTTAAGTGTTTGGTGAAAATATTGGCTAATAAGCCTGATAAGCCGAAAAACAGTGTTGTCAAACGGTCTCTTAGCATGCAAGTCAAGTTGTGAGGCTAATACCAACCAAAGTTAGAGGACTACATTAAATAAGCAAATCTCTATTTTTTAGGCTAAAGGGTCAATTAGGCCCCCAAACTAACTTAAAAAGTGCTAATCACCCCTTATATAGAAGGTTATGTCCGCACATCCCCATTTGGGGAGGTTCCCGGTAGAAATTTTTGATAAATTTTTTTGAGCGAGCATCTTCTTTATTAAGTCTACTTTACCCATACCAAATTTCAGATAAAAATTCAACCGGGAAGACAGTCAAATTATTTTCTGAAATGCATTGCGCTGTTTAATTGCGCTGTTATCTTTAAACATTCATTTCACTGCCTTCCCTGTTAAATTTTTAGCTGAAATTTGGTACGAGTAAACTAGACTTAATTAATGAAGAAGATTCTCACCAAGATGTTATCAAAAAATTCCACGAGGAATTATCCCAAATGGCGGCAGCCGGACAGAGCCTTCTATATCAGGGGTGATTTGCACTTTTTAAGTTAGTTTGAGGGTCTATTTAACCCTTTAGTCTTTTTTATGTATATACTATTACAGCCAAATTAGTCCATTATTTTAATCTATACACACACTTTTGGTGTTTTGAGTTTAATGCGGCCGGGGGACGGATTGGGAACGGCTCTCTCAAGGACCTTCTCGGGTGTCGAACAATTCCAACCAACTGAGAACCTATATAGACAAGGTGAATACATCCTATTAGACAAATTAAATGCCAAGCTTCGACCGCCACTCAAATTCTCGTTGGTTCATACACTGAGTTGATCGGTAGATCGACTCATCACCGTTACGCATTTTATATAGGGAAATTTCCCCAAATATGACTAAACCATATTGAGTTTGCCTAAATATGAGTAGCTTTATTTTTAGATTCGTATGACTGGAAAGCAAAAGAAAATATCACTTCTATTAAAATGTTGAATGATGAAAATACTCTTATTTTTTAACCCGGAAGGCAAACCACCAAAATCAGTGGGGTAAATGTCGGGGAACATTTACCAGATTTTATTAGAAACAAAATAAGAACAAAATGAGAGGGGGACCACCAAACCGAAACCTCTCTGAAGGCATACCTCCAAAAGTACAACGAAATAAAAATAATGAAAATTTTCGGGGGGACCAAACCTGACCCGAAAATATACAAAAATCAAAATTAAAAGCACAAAGACGGAATGCCAAAAAGTCCATGTTATAGGCCCTACGAGCTGAAAGAGGAAAGTTATTTGAACCTGAAAATAATGTAAAAATGCCCAGATGTGACGAAAATACTCTTACTTAAATATGTGCATTTTGCTCTATTTTCGTGCAATTAAAATACTTCACTTATTGCACGTCATTATTACACATCCAATGCACTTCCATCAACATAAATTCCCTTCTCATCCACTCTAGGAATTTATATATAGATCTTTTATTCATTTATTTTAGATATAATAGTTTTAGTATTTTACATCCAAATAAATATATTGCATTTCATGACATTATTACTACTCTACATTAGTGTACTACCAGTTATAATCAATGCACTTCCCGCCAATGTAAAAGCATTATATATTTCCTTCAAATCACTGCAAATACACTTCCTCAATCATTCATTTAGGGCCTATGTACAACATTATATATTGTCATATTCACTTCTCATACTCAACAATATTTATTGTCATATTCAATGCCCAGTTCAATGTTCCACAAACTTAATTTGAACAAACCTTAATTTCTAGAAATAGAAAAGAAGAACGCGAATATATGTCGAGCGGCTGGAGGTGTGCATCTGGAAGATGGAGGCGGACGATTGTGCGGTGGCGGAGAGAAAGCATGAGGACGGCGGCGGCTGTGAGTAGGCGTGTATAGCAGGTATTGGAATGACCGTGGCGGTGCATGGGGACGATGAAGGCTGTGGGTAGGCATGCAAGCATAGGGATGCCGATGGTTGCGGGATGACCGCGACGAGCAGACATGGTGATGGCCGCGACGACAGGGGCGTCATGAGACTTGAGGGAAACTGCTAGCTAGTGGTTAGGGTTTTGAGAAAATGAGGAGGAAGTTAGGGTTTTATAATAACAATGTAAGAGCATATTAGTACATACAATTATTTATTAGTTTATTCATTAGCTAGTTATTAAGTATTACACATTTAAATATTATGTTGTAAATTAAAAAATCTAATGTGATCATAGATTGATAAAGTGAATGAGTTAGGATACTTTTCCTTTCTATATACTACTCCGTAATTAGTATGGCCTTTCTATATACTACTCCGTAATTAGTATGGTGCATGAATAGGTGGATTTGGTGGGAGGGTACTATGACGCAGGAGACAATGTAAAGTTCAATTTCCCAATGGCGTTTACAACCACTATGCTGTCTTGGAGTGTGTTGGAGTATTGGAGGGAAATGGGAAGTGAGGAACTGGAGAATGCAAAGGAGGCGATCAAGTGGGCGACCGACTACATGATGAAGGCCACAAGCAAAGTCAGCGACGGCGTGGTTTTCGTTCAGGTCGGTGAGCCATACTCTGATCACACTAGTTGGCAGAGGCCGGAAGATATGACCACCGATCGGACCGCGTACAGCGTCACCGCTGCCTCGCCCGGCTCAGAAGTCCCCGCTGAGATGGCCGCTGCCTTGGCCGCTTCTTCCCTCGTTTTTAGGAAATCTGATTCTGATTATTCATTTCAACTACTCCAGAGGGCCGAACAGGTTTTTGTATTTGCAGATAAGTATAGAGGGTCCATCAAGGACTGTGCCGCTAAGGAAGCATTATGCCCCTTTTATTGTAGTTTCAACGGCTATCAGGTGAGTAACCTCCATCCCTGCCTAGCTTACTTATTACGTACAAAGTACGCTGTAGTATTTTGATGTCGTTTGATTTCCTAAATTTTTTGGCTTACAAATTGGAAAATTTTCCCTGAAAAGTACATTTTCTGATAAAAATATACTATCGTATTTCGTACCAGTAGAGATGCCATTGGCATCGAATTTTTGAACAGAGTAAAGTTATAAGCGAGTAAAATTATAGAACTAGTAATGGACACAGTTGAAAGTTATACAAGATTAAACTTGCAGACCACCCGACTACGTGTGGGTGAATTGAACACTAATCTGATCTTATATATGTTTTTTGTTTGTTTATAAATACTATATAATTGGTAGCACATGAGCATGTGATCTAACGAAAGAAGTTAAATAATAAAATAGAAATGCATATTGCCATGAATTAGTATCAAATTTTGTAAATAAGTTGAACTTATTCTATATCTAATTAGAAATATGAACTAACATGAGCCAAATTGTGCACTATTTTAGATCATTCTCATTCTCAAAGGAAAAATCTTTCCCACCAGAATCATACTCATCTTTATATATTTGTATTATTACGTATTAATACAAACTAGAAATCACCTTTTATTCTAAAAAAAGGGAAATTAAATGCCTATTTCATTATTATTATAACTGTCATAATTCCACAGTTTTCCAATAATATTGAATCTCAAAATTTATAAGTAGTCAACATGAAAAGTTATTAATTAAGTTTTACTCGTCAATAATTAAATACTACGTATGTACCAGTTATGAGTCACAAAAATACGTATAGGGTAAAACAAATTTTCAGGTTGTACTGTCGAGTATAATGATTTTAGCGCAAGTAAGATATATGAGCATAATATTAACCGCACATGATATCATTTTAAATTCTTAATCAAGGACTCACAGTAAAATTTCCAAAAAGTAGACTGAGTTAAATCAAAGTAGATCGTGAAATTAATGTGAAATTCCAATAAGTCCATCATATTAAAACCTCTTTATAGTAATCACACATTCACACTCTTAATGATGAGTAGGCTTGATTAAGTACATAAGGATATCAACTCAATGGTACATAACGATTTAAATATGTTTAGTTAATCTTCCCTTTGATACCGTGTATGTTGTGGCGTGTATATTTTGGATGGTAAGAATTTGATGTTGTCACTGTGCTTATCATTATAAGAGTTCATATATATGTGAACCTCCCCGATTTATGTATATGTAATATGTATTGTTAACAAAATAATAATTGTTTCCTAGGATGAGTTGCTTTGGGGAGCAACATGGCTCTTCAAAGCCACCAAAAATAGTTTCTACTGGGAGTATGTGGACAACAATTATAAGCTATATAAACAACAAATGCAAGGAAGCGTAACTCAATTTGGATGGGATGCTAAGAATGCTGGTATTAATGTGCTTATCTCCAAGGTATGTATCTTCAATTTCATTATCCTGGTCTCATAGAGTTTATTCACCTCGTTAGTTTTAAACAATACATTCACTTTCCCTCTAATCCATTACCCTCCAAAATAACAACAGATAACAAGTTATCACACAAATAAGGGACATGACTCACATTCATAATGGTAAACACACCACCACAAGATTTTTTTATAGATATCACCAACATCAAGCGCATTGCATCTCTTATTAGCAGCCCAGAAAACATAACAACTATCACATTGTTCATAATATCTAGAAAATAAGATCCTGATGAAAGGAGTCATATAATAGGTATAGCCAGAGTTAAATAAACATTCATGCTCAGACAAGGAATTTCAGTTCTTACATAATTAACATGGTCACAAACCATTAATTAAAACTTAACCATATATGATCCTCTCTCTCAATAGCTACACTATCATACTCACCCTTCTTAGAGTTGGGACAATCCTTATATGTCTCTTCTTATCACATTGGTTGCTATTTTTAGCTTGGACATTCTGCTTATGGTGTTTAGATCTACTCTTGGATCTACCCCTCACAAATAGAATTGACTATTACTATTCCAAGAATGTTTGAGGTCTAGATCTTTACTTCTCAAGCCATTCACAACACTAACAAGACTAATATCATCTCTACCATATTTAGTAGACATCATTATAATAATCATATATAGCATTAAGCAACATAATATGAGTATAATAATCAACATGCTTATAACCAACTTGTTTAATATTATATTCTAAATCCGTTTATTAAACACTCTAGATTTTCATCAATGTCTTTAGTTAGGTCAAAATTAAACCGAAATAACTTTTCAAACAAAAACAAATAACTAGTCAAAGTATCAGTATAAAGACTTTCTAATTAATTAATTAATCTCATAAGTCAGCAAATTCAGTTATATCTACCTTTCTAAGCACAAAGTAAGAAACGTTCAGCTAAATAATAGAGCAAGCAATTTCATTATTTAAGCTTTCTGAGCCCTCCTATCTTCAGAGTCCAAGTAAAGTACACTCACAACCCTTTAGCTTTATTATAGATTAAAAGACACTTAATACTCCGTATTTTGTTTCGACCACTAGACCACAGTTAACATCACAAAGGTGTTAGAATAGTAGGATACCAACTACAGTGTTATCTCTATAATTGCGAGGCATATAGAGATATAGGTCTATACTCCTCAAAACTCTTTGGATTCTCCAATTTTGGAATAATTAAGAACCATGTTAACGTCAAGTATCTTGCGCTTTGATAACATCATTGTTCATCTCTCAAATAAAAGATCACAGTTTCAAGTCTCATTTCAATAGGTTTAGAAGGATATACAAAAAAATCATGTTAACTACCCTACTACATGTTCCCCAAAACTCAGTTTTAGAAACATACTCTTAGATCATATTAAAGTAAATATTTAATGGTAATAACTCCATTTTGTTGTCTCTATTTTCACACTAGTTAAATACGGAGTAATTGTTCGTTCAAAAAAAGAACACGGATTAATTGTTATAATCAATAGTTAATTAATACTAATGAACAAAAGTATAGAACAAAAGATTTGTTTTATTATCAAAGCAGATGACTTAAATTGATATCACGACATTCAGATAGAGGGTAAAACAACAAAAGGACCACAGACAACCGTCAGCCCTCGAACCAGACTTAGAGTCAATCACCTCCAGAAAAGCAATATAATTCGTTGATCCTATAATGGGCATAAATGAGCCAACGACGGTTAAAGCAGACCTCTCATCACCCAATCCTAATGCAAGAGTCTTATAACAATAAAAGTAACCAACAGAAAAATAAACAGTCTGATCATGAAAAATAAATGGCAAGCATACAGTAAAATTAAAATACTGCTTCCAATCCTTAAACTCTCCTGCACTCCATGACGGCGGTTCAAGAGGGGGACAGTCCAGTAGTACTGAAGCATCTTTCGCTTCTTGCCTCCGATCCAGATCTGTTCCAACCCCTAACCCCACGCTTCGTCCATGAACTTTTTATCTCAACCATGAGCGGCAACCTCGAACCTCTTCACCTGTTGCTAGGGGGACACACAATCTTTGGCCGCCATGTAGGCGCTGCGGTCTGCCAAAGAAGAGAGCCTCACGAAAGGTGGACGAAAGCCGCACAAGAAAGCCGCACTTCGTCGAATTGAAGACGAAAGTGGAGGCAAACAACCGCTAATCTTAAGGGAGGCGGCCGTCTAAAGTGAGAACCTCTCGCCTAGAGAGAAAGGATCATGACCATGTCTTGCTTATGAACAAAAGAAATTGAACCATTAAAGTATTAAATGACTTAAAATAAAATAATCTATAAGTTTGATGGGAAGGACCATTTCCTAATGGTCTCCCTCTCTATTTACAAGTTTCTTACACTTTTTTAGTTGTATTTAAAAGTTCTATATACTTTCATTTTTGGTAAGTTTACCCTTTAATTTATAAAATACTCATCTACCCTTACTTTATCTACTTTTTATCTCCTCTTTCATACTTTTACACATTCTCTCCTACTTTTTCTACACTAATAGGAGTACTCCTACTACGTTACTCCTTAAATAATGTGCCCAACCTAATGTAGTGAGCATTAAAATATTGAAGGAGTATTTAAAATTGTGCACTAGATTAAAAAATTTGTATAATCCGAAATACAAAGGGAAAATGTAAATTAATAATCAAACCTTTTAGCGGTATTCTTACAATGGTCCTACCTTTTCGTTATTCATTAATAATCCAACCTTTGCACCCCATTTTAATTCTCTAGTCCCTGATCGGTTGATGACTTGCTATTTCAGGTTTTTTCATTTTCTTTGCAAATCTTTCAACCATAAATCCCACCTTTCACAAATCTTCACCAAATGGTCTCAGGTATCATTTTTCTTTTTTCTTCCAAAAAAATTTCCTTTTTTATTTTTATTCTCTTGACTCTTTTTTCAATGTTTATGTATTCCAGTTTTTCTTCTTTTTTCTTCCCGTTTATTATTTCATTTTCATTTTTATATATTTTTTCGGATTAGTTTCCTTATAAAAGATGTTTTTCTCACCGTATTAACGTTTTAACTTTACTTTCTTTTAACTTACACTTATTTATTTCATTTCCCCTCTTTCTACCACTAATATATATTTGAGAAACTAGTCCCAAAATAGGACTAAACTAATTCTGAAAAGCACAAATAGGACTATGTTATTTATCTTTCCAAAATAGGACTAAAGTATTGTCTATCTTCTTATTCTACATTTCTACCCTTACCATAACTTAATAGGATAATCATATTTTACATTATAATAAAAAGGAAAAATAACAAAAGATATTTCAATTTATAAAAATATAGTAACAAAATAAAAATATAGTTAACAATGTTTTAAAAATAATAAATAGTGATAAAAACTAATTTAAAGAAAACCTTAAAAATAAATAAAAATAGATAAAAACATTAAAAATTTGTTTTAACTTTCTTTTTATTTTTTTCCT